TATATATATATATATATATATATATATATATATATATATATATATATGTATGTATGTATGGCATTCAGCTTTGTTCGTGTATTTTCCCACGTCATAGTAGTTGTGCTTTTAAAGTTGTAGCGACGTTTCATCAGGCTTCTGTATAGTGTTCATCTGTGAGTCAGGCTTTTACAGTGGTTTCAGATTTGAATTTGGGGCAGCCTATTGCTGTGCCAGAATGGTTTTTTCTTCATCCTGATTGGTTGAGAGTCTTGGTCTGTGTTTAATGGTCTTGGAGTTTGCTGTGTTCTGCTTGATTGGTGTTTCTAATATCTTCTGTCTGTTTTTTGGCTCCTTTTGTATCTTGATTGGCTGGCAACATTGTGTTACTTTATTGGAGGCCTTTAGTGCAGCTTGGCTCCGGGTAAATGGACGGCTATCATTTGTTAGGAAGCTAGGTTTCATCTGGGTGCCTGGTTGGGGTGTGTTTGAGCCGGAGGCATCAGGGGGGATCTGTTTGTGCCCAGGTGTTTGCCTGGCTTGTGGTGTGGAGATTTTTGTGTTTGTGAGTGCAGGCTTCCAAATGATTGACAGTCTGGTGGAATCATCTCTTCTGTTTATGCTTTCTGGTCTTTTCCATATATATATATATATATATATATATGAAAGCATGAATAGAAGAGATGCACTCACAAACAAAAAAATATCCACACCACAAGCCAAGCAAACACCTGGGCACAAACAGACCCCCTCCCCGATACCTCCAGCCCAAACACACCCCAACCACCCACCCAGATGAAACCTAGCTTCCTAATAAATGATAGCCAGCCATTCACCCGAAGCCAAGCTGCACTAAAAGCCCCCAATACATGAAACACAATGTTGCCAGCCAATCAAGACAAAAAACTGCTACAAAACAGACAGAAGATATTAGAAACACCAATCAAGCAGAACACAGCAAACTCCAAGACCAAGACTCCCAATCAATCAGGATGAAGAAAAAAACATTCTAACACAGCATGAGGCTAGCACCAAATTTAAAACAGAAACGGCTGTGAAAGCCTGACACACAGACGAACCCAATACACAAGCCTGATGATGGCAGATGAGATTCTGCCGAAACGTCACTACAACTTTAAAAGCACAACTATAATGATGTGGGAAAATACCCGAACAAAGCTGAATACCATACATATAAATACCCGTGAAAACTTAAGAATACATACATACATACATACATACATACATACATACATACATACATACATATGTAGGTCTAGGTGTGTTCGGGTCTTTTCCCGTGTAAGATTAAGAATATCTTGGCGACATTTCAATGAGGTCCCACTCGCCATCCTCAGGCTGGTGCTTTCGGCTTCGTGCCAGTGCAAGCAGTGTGTGATTGGAGCTGCCGTCTCTCTATAAATACTGGTGGTGGGGGCTAGTGTGCTGTGCTGGTTGTATATGTTGAAATTACAACAGACTTAGAAAAAGTTACTTATGACCCTTTAAGTTAGGAGTGCCATACCCGACAGGGTCATTTGATTGCATTTCAGGAATTGGGCAACATGTTTGCACTTAAAACTGATTGCCAAGTATTTTGCAAGCATTTGATTGGCATTTAAAATCTTATCTGCTGATTTCCTCAGAAAATTCATGGGAAAGCTGGCAGGAAAGTTTGCAAGCTGTTGCCACCTGCCAAACAATTTTGCCTCCCCTATGTACATGGGGGTGAGGGACTTCTGAAGTGGGCTGGAAAAAATTAAATTCAGATTCCATGCATAGAAGGGAATTTCAGCCCTGGGCTGGAGAAAAGATGCTTGGCTGTTCTCCATCCAAGCTTTCTTTTTTCTGCCAAGTCCTGGAGTTTCTCCAGATTCCTCTATGTGTAGAAGGGAACTTCTGCACTGGGCTGGAGAAAAGCAGCTTACATCCTGAAGATCAGCCTTTCTTGGCCTCAGAAACACTGCATTGGCTACAGTGGTAGGATTCAATTTTTTTTACTACCGGTTCTGTGGGCGTGGCTTGGTGGGCATGACAGGGGAAGGTTACTGCAAAATCCCCATTCTCCTGTGCAGGGCAACAAAAGAAGACCCAGCCAATCAGCTGGGACTTGGGAGGCACAGAATAGACGGGGGCGGGGCCAGTCAGAGGCGGTATTTGCCGGTTCTCCAAACTACTCAAAATTTCCGCTACTGGTTCTCCAGAACTGGTCAGAACCTGCTGAATATCACCTCTGGTTGGCTAGCTTTGTACCCAGAAAAAAAAATTAGCAAATGCAAGTTTCTGGATGGTAGAAAGGCTAGTGCCTTGAGGAGAGGGTTAGAGTTAGGGTCTGCCTTCTGTGGCAAATGGGGGAGGAAGGAAATTCAGATCTCAAAATCTGAGCTTCCCTTTTCCATCTCAGTGTAGCAGTTCCATTCACACATGGAGGAGAGGAGAAGGCCTGCAATGGACTGAAGAAACAAAACTTTGGCTTTGGGGATTTGAGCTTCTCTTCTTAAGCCTGCCTTCTTATAGCAGGCAGCTCTTTCATTCTGTCCATTTAATGATCCATGCAGTCATTTAACAACCACATCTGGGATTAAATACATTAATATAACCAAAATATTAACAATAAAATATCATAGTATCTTTACCATACTAACATATATCGCTGTAACTTTTGATTAATAGAAAATACTGCCTTTTCCCAAAATGTGGAATTGTGGATTTGTGGTGGAACCAGCTAAAGGGGAGGGGATTCTGCCAGGGGAACTAAAGAGACATTCCAGTTTAGAGTCAGTTCAGTGGAATAAATGTCTGAGATCAAACCCTTAGGTGTATATCTGCAGGCTGTCTGGCAAAATTCTTATTATAGGTGATTAATAATAAAGTATCTGTTTGGGCCTATCTACAGGTGGGTTCTGGTTGA